GTGCGTGTGTGTGTGTGATATAGAGAGAGTGTGTGTGAGAGGGAGAGCGAGAGAAAGAAAGTGTGTGCGTGTGTGTGTGTGTGCGTGCGTGCGTGCGTGCGTGCGTGCGTGCGTGCGTGCGTGTGTGTGTGTGATATAGAGAGAGTGTGTGTGAGAGGGAGAGCGAGAGAATGAAAGAGTGTGTGTGAGAGGGAGAGGGAGAGAGAGAGAGAGAGAAAGAGAAAGAAAGAGTGTGTGAGAGAGCGAGAGAGAGAGAGAGTGGGTGTGTGTGTGTGACCAGAGAGAGAGACAGTGAGACAGAAGGTGCTCATATTGCAAAGCTCTCCACAGATGCTGGCGACTGGCTTCTAACATGAGTTCGTGCTGCAGCGATCGGAGAGTTACGTCACAATGACGTCATCAGGTGGCAGCACCCATGCTAAGTCGTGACGTAACACTCACGCATTGAAATACTTGATCGGCTCAGCACTCTAGGAGCGTGTCGCCAGTAAACGCACCACGGGTGTTCCGCAGTCTGCGAAATACCCGAACGTTATCTATCTCGATGTCAACTCCTGCGCAGCTGAGAAGGCGGACACCAAAATTTTTCGAAACCACGGTTTGAAATCCGAAAGAGAATGCAGAGCATTCTCTGTTCGGCACAGAAAAAGAAGATTTTTATCTTTTACACAGAGCTGAAATTTCACGCCGGTCTGGTCCGTGTGCACGGGAAATGAAACGGTGAACGAACACGCTTCACCGTGTAAAGTAGTGCGCTCTGGCAGCGGTGCATTGCCGGTCTACGGTCCCTAGCCAGGCTTTAACGCGTGCGTTGCTGGCACGCGGTAAACTTTACCGTTCCCCGTGCGTGTATTTGGTGGTGCTCTCAGCTGTGCAGTGTGGTGGACGGTAGTCAGTGTTGTGTCCACGCCTTGGTGCGTTCGTGGGCATCACACTGACTGCGGGGGGGGATGGGGGGGGCCGCCACAGAAAGCCACGCGAAGCCGTCCATCGCTTCTATCGATGCGTTTTACGTTCTATCGAAGCGCGTCGTTCGGCGCGTTTTACGTTCTATCGAAGTGCATCTATCAACGTGTTTTACGTTCTATCGAAGCGCGTCTATCAATGCGTTTTACGTTCTATCGAAGCGCGTCGTTCGGCGCGTTTTACGTTCTATCGAAGTGCGTCTATCAACGCGTTTTACGTTCTATCGAAGCGCGACGCGTTTCGCGTTTTTGCTACGTTGAATCGCTCACCGGTTTGGGAGCTGCCGAGAGTGTCGGCGGTGCGCTCGCTCCGGATCCGGATCGCGCGCTGGATCCGTTTTGCGTTCGTGATGTGGTTCGGGTTGACTATTATTTGCTACTACGATGGCTTCGCGTGGAGGCGGTAGCGGCGGCGGCGGCGGTGATCGGTCGCAGTGATGGCGGAGGTCGAGTCTGTCTCAGCTTCGCCGCAGAACGAGTGACGTCATCGTCTTCTGCGGGGACGCGCGCGCTCTGTCTTTCCTGTGGCGGTTACTTCTGGTGGGGAGGGAGGGAGGGAGGGAGGGGGGAAGAGAGAGAGAGAGAGAGAGAGAGAGAGCGAGAGGGAGAGGGAGAGAGAGGGAGGGAGGGAGGGAGGGGGGAGGGGGGCGTACATGATGTAGATAGTGGGGTGTCATTAGCGACGTGCCTGCTGAGGAAACTACGGCGCGTTCCGATACCAGTTTGATACCAGTTCTGCCCACTCATAAATCCACTCGTAGCTGAACACTCATGAGGCATTCGTGCACGTGGGCTGTTCCAAGTCCGTTCGAAGTACATGCGGTAAGATTATGACTATCGTCTCATTGACATACAAAATTGACGATTGATGATTACATTAAATATAATTGATTTGCAGTTTGCTCTGTTATTTCCAGTTCGTAGACAGGTTAGAGTGATCCTTAAGACCACGTTGCCTATGCATTTATTTGGCTCTACTGTCGCATGCGAATCGCATTTCGTGCTTCCGGTTAAATATCTAGTTAACGTGGTCGTGTTTTACGTGGCTTGATTGTAGATTCCACATAGCTAGACTAGTAGATGATGCTAGAACCTTCATCAGCGTCGAAGCGATAGTCATTCTCTTGTGTGCACTGATGGTGTGAGCGCGTGTGTTGATGATAATAATGATGATCTGGCTTCATTGTCCGTGCAAGTCTTCATTTGTAGGTCGGTGATCACGATTTACAACGATCGCGTATCCTTATATTTGGCCATTTATTAAGGACGTTGAAATAAAGTCGCAACTCTTCCAGAACTTGTGCTTGTGTGCGGGTGATGAAAGAGTTAATTGCAGCTGCGTGATTTTGTTTGTGATTTGGAAATTTGTTTGTGATCGTTGCGTAAATTCGCTCGTATGTTCAAGGTGGATCATTCGTTTATACAGCTGTTGCGATGCTAATATCAAACTGCGCGTTTGTTTTGAAAACTGGATTGGGTATGTGAACCTTCCTTTTCTTCAGCTCTGAGTATCATTGGCTTCATTCGTGTGTATGCGCTGTCACTGACAGTATGCAGAAATTGATGCTAGTGACAGCTCATCGAACTGAATTCCTATAATTATTACGGGTAGTAAGCAGGATAAGGTACCGATTTGAAGAAAAAAATCCGTAACAAGCTAAGAAAAGGAGCTGGATCACTTTTGTATTCTGAAAATCAGTTCACATATTTTGTACTTCAATAGACTTGTACTACAATGTACGTCAATAGACAATAAAAAAAAGGCTGAACAGAATAAACCGATAAGACTATTCTACCATTTTGTTAAATATACTATTTTTTCGATAACACGTCGTGGACCAGTAATGTGACAGTCATCATTCAACGTTTATACATTTTTGTGAGATCACTGTTGTTCCTTTAAAAGTGAGATTAATTCAGTACACAAGAAATCACTATTGTCACGCCCTATTTACCAAACCTCGAGTAAATGGTCGCATTGCTTAAATGACACA